CAGTAAATGGTACTGGGTACTCCATTCCGTTTTAGTTTGTTCTCAATACATACATACAAATAGTTGAATTACATGCGATGTAGTTTCGTTTTTGACATTTTGTTTGTTAAGAACTCAGCTCAGATCGTGTAGCCCAAGAGTAGTACTAGTAGTACACTGTACAGATAAACAACAAAGTTTAGCCGTTATTATTACTAATATTACGCTTTGATCTGACGGTGAAGTGCCATCATACATATTTCTGATGACAGTTTTATTTTTGGAGATAGTTCTAAAGTGCAATACTAATAGTAATACAATAGTTTGCCTTCATACATATTTCTGATGTCATGCATTTTTATTTTTGGAGATGAGATAGCTTTAAAGTATTATAATAATAATACTATTTTAACACTATATATAGTTTACTTACTATTTCACTTCTGTTATGCCTCATTTGGTTTTTTGGAGATAGCTTTAAAGTATAATAATAATAATACTATTTTAACACTATATATAGTTTACTTACTATTTCAACTTCTGTTATGCCTCATTTGGTTTTTTGGAGATAGCTTTAAAGTATAATAATAATAATACTATTTTAACACTATATATAGTTAGTTTACTTACTATTTCAACTTCTGTTATGCCTCATTTGGTTTTTTGTGTGTTTCCAAGGTGATTTTTTCCTCAACATATGGTTAATTTTATGTGAACAGTGGCAATCCTTTTTTTTTTTTTTTTTTTGACCATACTTCAATTTCAAGCTCTCCAGCAAATAAGCGGGGGTGGGGTGTAAAGAACTTCTGTGTGCTGTATACATAACTGTCTTCATTTCTTTATTTGAAGGCATCTTTCCATTATTTATATTTTGCCTGGTCTTCCCCGTATTCTTCCATTATATTTCTTCAGTGTGCCTCTCTATTTGTAGCAGTTGCTACAAGGGCATTCTTATTGGATGGCCATAACCATTTCTCTCTTGCTTTTATATAGACTTTGGCTAGTTGCTGGCCTAGTCTTTTTAGATTTCTTTTATTTTTTAATTCTATTTCTGCCTGTTGCTCTGGCAGCTTCTTCTTTTATGACATCATATCAGTTTTGGGCTATCCTTCGAATAACAGTCCCAAATTATTGAGTCCGAAAATATACCCTAATGGGGCCTCAGTCACATGTAAATTGCGGACTTCCGGCAACTTAAATTGCTGACTTCCAGCTACCACCGCCAAGAGTATCTCCCGCACGGCGTGGAGTGGGGCTAAAATAGTTGGCTGGGACTCACGAGCAGCAGCTACTGCGTCTCCTACAGCTTCCTTCAATTTTTTTTGCTCGTGGGTCCCAGCCATCTAGTTTAGCCGCGCTTAGCGGCATGGAAGATACTCTCAGCGGTGGCGGTAGTCGCTGTAGGGCCGCAATTTACATGTGACTGAGGCCGTTAGGGTATATTTTCGGCCTCGATAATTTGGGAATGTTATTCTGAGGATAGCCCAGTTTTGTTGATGATTCTTGTGCTCATTATTTGTAGTAAGGATCAAAGTTTGACACTGGTGTTGGTAATGTAAGGGTGGCCAAACAGTTATGCCTTCTTTTCTTCTGCCTTTCTATCCCCCAAGGGAGCATAGGCCCTCAACCAACTCACGCCAAGTCGTTCTGTTCTTCGGCATTGCATGGAGCTCTCTTCTCCATGTGTTTTTTGGCCTTCCTTTATTCCTATGCCCCTGTGGGTTCCAATGCAAAGACATTCTAGTTGTGCTGTTTCCTGTTTTCTCAGTGTGTGTTCTATCCAACGCCAGCGTCTTTTCCTCACCTCTTGGTCCACTGGAGCCTGTTTAGTTCTCTCCCAAAGTTCTACATTAGTTATTCTATCATACCATTTTATTCCCTCTATTTTGCGTAATTGCCTTGGTTGTTCTCCATGTTTCCGCCCCATACAATAGTAGTTATGCCTTAATATGAAGATATGTCAGAATTAGTGATAGTTGCCAGGAAGGCTAACCCGGTCAACAAATGCCAGCAGAAGTCGGATGTGTTGACTGAAAGGTGCAAATATTGCAGCCATGCTGTTCACCGACAAAGCACAATTACATCTTTGGATGATCGCAGAAGAGGAAGTCTTAATTGTTCCAGGACCCCATTTCAAACCACGTACAGAGAAGCAGTACAATAAAAGTGTCAAGTACCACACATTGATGATATTTTCGTATTTGGAGATAGTTATGATTTTATTTTTCTTGACAAATCTTCTAAGTTAATTTACACTTATATTAATCCTGTCTCTGTAAGATATTAGGCTATCTTAGATATGTACAGAGTGCATTCTGTCAAGAGACAACAGATCACATAGTTTGGACATATGTCAAGGCTGCCACAGAGAGCCTTGTCACTTAACGCAACAGAAGCACAGCTAGAGGTCACCCACACAAGCAATGGCGAGGTCGAATATTCGAGGCCGTGAATACTGGCATTTATGTGGCACACAGGCAGAGCTTGCTCCAGATACCTCTTCAGAACTGGAGACACTGAAAGGGAAAGCAGGATTAGAGGGCTTTTTAGTTGAATTTTTCAGGAGTTGCTACAACAACCTCATTGCAATAGATGCACCTCTTTTGTGGATTTTAATATGTGCTGCTACCGTGTGAATTTGAGAGTTAATATACAGAAGTACACAGTGATGAGTGGCTGGCCGAATGGTTAGGAAACTGCGCTCTTAATCAGGAGACTCAGGTTCAAAACCTCAGTAACCCCCGTGTGGGTTCCGGGGCCCTATTGTGGGGAAAAACAAGAATAGACCCACTGCCTCCACAAAAACATGTCGTAAGAGTTGACTAATTGGGGAGCTTCCTTTGAAGTCAGAGTGCATCTGCTGGAGAGGCAAGGAACCAACAGTCTGTATTCAAGAGAAAGATCTGTAAAACTGATGCACACGCAACACTCAGATTCTGGAGCAGGACTACAGTTCAGTAGTGGACGAGCAACCAGAACCTTCCGCCAGAGTTTACAGCTGGTGAACGCGAAGAAGAAGAAAACCTCTGTAAGGTTGTGGATTTTTCTTTGAGGCCAAAAATGAAATCCTAAACTGCACGGTCTGTGGTGACAATGCCACCCATGCTGCCCTAAATGTCAGGCTCAAAGACCCCTTTGCCTGCACAGCAGAAATGAAAAATACAGACAGTAATGGAGTTTTTTGAGAAGTAGTATGATAAAGCAGTTGAAGTATCGGCTGGTGCTCAAGGAAGGAAATGGAGACAGAAGGACTTATTAGACAACCTAAAAATTGAAAGCTGTAGTTGCCATACTGGGAATCAAACTACTTATATTTAAAAATGACAAAAGAGCTTCACCGTTGGAACTAGTGTACTTTGATGAACAACCAATTTGACAGTCCTGTGTGGTCCTTCTGTCTCTCTACTCCCTTTCTGTGGGTGCCAGTCTGTACTAGTTAGTGTGTTTATCATGTTGGATGGTTAAGAGTTCCAGAGGATCAACAACCACTGAACTCGCAGTCTTCAAGCTCACACATTTACGCAAGTTAGGAGGTTAGACCAAACAAGAAAAACTGCGAGATCCTACATCAGCAGTTCTCTACCTGTGGGCCCCACAACCCTTTTGCAGGGGTCGCAAAAGACCATTAAAAAACACATATTCACTGAAGTTATAAAGTAGCAACAAAAATAACTCAGGTCTAGGGTCGCCACAACATGAGGAACTGTATTAAAGGATCACCACAACACGAGGAACTGCATTAAAGGGTCACCACAACACGAGGAACTGTATTAAAGGATCGCCACAACACGAGGAACTGTATTAAAGGATCGCCACAACACGAGGAACTGTATTAAAGGGATGCCACAACATGAGGAACTGTATTAAAGGATCGCCACAACACGAGGAACTGTATTAAAGGATCGCCACAACAGGAGGAACTGTATTAAAGGATCGCCACAACACGAGGAACTGTATTAAAGGATTGCCACAACACGTGGAACTGTATTAAAGGATCGCCACAACAGGAGGAACTGTATTAAAGGATCGCCACAACACGTGGAACTGTATTAAAGGATCGCCACAACACGTGGAACTGTATTAAAGGATCGCCACAACACGAGGAACTGTATGAAAGGATTGCCACAACACGTGGAACTGTATTAAAGGATCGCCACAACCCGAGGAACTGTATTAAAGGATCGCCACAACACGAGGAACTGTATTAAAGGATCGCCACAACACGAGGAACTGTATTAAAGGATCGCCACAACACGAGGAACTGTATTAAAGGATCGCCACAACACGAGGAACTGTATTAAAGGGTTGCCGCAACATGAGGAACTGTATTAAAGGATCGCCACAACACGAGGAACTGTATTAAAGGGTTGCCACAACACGAGGAACTGTATTAAAGGGTTGTCGCATTAGGAAGGCTGAGAACAACTGTCCAACATGATGTGAGCATGAATTATAATTGACTCATAAACAACACCTGTCCTAAAAGCTGAGGTATTTTAGTCATATAAAAAGTTATGGTTTGCTTCACCAGCTTTTATCCTCTGTTTTGATTCAGTTCACCACCTTTCACCTTCTGCTTTGATTCAATAAATATTTTGTTTTCTATTTGCAGAACTGGTGACTAGCATTGTACTTGTCAGCATCTGTGTAAATTACTTGACTGCCCCTACACGCTGGATCGCATTTTCCCGCCCCGCCGAACGTCCTCCAAAAAACGGGACCAGAATGGCATATCAGGTTTCTTGGCAGCCTCCCGCGCAGCAGATACAAAAAACAGAACGTCCCCATTTTCTTTGTCCAGATTTCTTCCGACACACCGGCGAACAAAGTCCCAGCTGAGCCTTGATTCAGAAACCCTGAAGTCTGATGGAGGCGCTTGTGGCAGCTCGTCACCATATTCTTCAGGAAATATTGCCAGCTCCTCGCCCCCTTTAATGTTTGCCAGCTTTCAGGCACGCTCCAATTCTTCCTCGGTGCATATCCATAATGTCAGTAGGAGCCACAGCGATGTACACCATTCGATGGAGCGGATTCCTCAGGGAAGGTTGTTGTCTAAGGAGGCACTGGCTGAAGCAAGCAGGGCTGATGACAGCTCCGAAAGCGTGGGAGAGGACAGAGGAGTTGTGGTCATGGAGTGTCCAGTGTGCATGGTGGACAAGCCGAAGGATTGTTTTCGAGAGATTTCCACATGCCATCACCGCTGTTGTTCGGAATGTTTGAAGAATTACTTCAAGGTATGATTTGTTGTTGTTGTAGTTTCACTTGGATTTAATTTATTCCTTATATCTGCTTGATGTCCTTACTTTCTCTTTTATCGCTTCGGGTCTCAAGGGAGAGATATAAGGCTTTGGTTGTGGCTCTCTTGATGATAGACACTTTGTTCTTTTCTAGAGTTTTCTTTTCATCTTATTCTAAGTCTACTTTGTGCTCTGAGTCAATCCTTGTTTAGTGTATAGCATCACAATGTATCTAATTGGGCAGACCTTTTAATTTCGTGTTTTTGTCTGTAAGACTTTTCATGTCATCATTCCCGATTTTTAATCTCCTCTGGCTGTTCCTGCAGACATCTCATTTCCATGGTTACTGTCTGGTTCTATCCAGGGTTTTCACCCCATCCCATCTGGCGCAATATTTCATGTCATATGTTTGTTCTTTTCAGCGTTGTTATCGTTTATAGTGTAATAATTTCCACTGTTTGTTACTTTTGTCCGTTTTGTCTCCCGTCACTCTGAGCTATGTGGAACAGTGTCCTTCTTCGTGACTTCACCTTTGCCATGAATTTCCTCGACCTTGCAGTATTCCTGCATGTAACCTTAACGCTTGAACAGTCGTTCACAGAAAGGAAAGTTGTTCATTTTTGTCTGGGAGAAAAGAAACCTGCACACTTTCTTGTGGGAGACTGTGTCGACCCAGTCAAACGAAGCCTAGATTCTTGTCGGTACACTGTATATTCACGACCGTCTGCAACTAGCTGCAGACAGTCATGTACATGCCAAGTAAGGTCAGGTCATAACACCCCTAGACTAAGATTGTCCAGGGGAATTCCCAATGAAATCTTGTGCCAGACAAGATGGGGTAAACAACCTGATTAGAACCAACTTTTCTTTTCTGTTTTGTTGTCAGTGGCCATGTTTGGCACTGCTAGCGTAAAGTGGGAATGCATATTTTTTGTATGAGATGCCTTTGTGTGCTGATTGGGATTAGCTTGTTGTAATTTCCTTAGCCAAATTTGCCATCTTCGACAAATGTTGCTCTCAAAAATTTAAACTCTGATACCTGTACACGATTTTCTCAAATTTTAATTTATGTATGTTTGGACAAGCACCCGGCATTGATTGGGCTAATGTTGCAGGATCAGAGATGGTCACACTAGAACCAGTGATGGTCACACTAGGACCTATAATGTTGACACTAGGACTTCTAATATTGACACTAGGGCCTGTGATGGTCAGGCTCATTCATTCATTAGCACCTTTCTGTTTTTCCAGACGATAGTGTTATATTGCGCTATGGAGAGGCATGAGACTCACAGCCCACGGCGATGGCGAGTATGACTAGCAAGACCCACCCGTGTCAAGAAAAGTCTTCCACAATGATAGCATGGGATTTCAGGACCATTGTTAACAACATTTGTGTTTAATCCGTTTCTTTTCAGACGCTCAGCTCTCATCCTTTCTGCAATAATTTCTTCCTTCAGTCTCATTCCCTTCCTGATATGCCCTTTCCACACAACACGGTCTATGGCATTTTGTTCCCATGAGTCTGCCTCAATGCCTGTATCATTCATGTCACGCTTGCACACATCTTTATAACGTAGTAGAGGTCGGCCCGTAGTAGATGGTCACACTAGGACCTGTGATGGTCACATAAGGTTTGTGATGCCATATCTGTAAAATGGGTGTGCACACAAACATTCCAGTCCTAGAACAAGACTGAATGCACCAGAAAGGAACAAACAGCCATGAACAAACAGCCAAAACTTTCCACCAGAGTTTACACCCACTGATTGGTCAACAGAAATGTATTTTGTATCTCTTTTACAGTGGAACTCTTGTATTGCTGTCTGTAACCATAAGAATTGTGTAAAAAAAAATAGAGCTGCCCACCACCCAGATCAAACCCCAGTACCTGATGATCTAGAAATTGTTAAATGCATTCACTAACATCTGAGCCACTGAGGAAAGAAAATCCTATTTAATGGATTGGTTTAGCATGTCTGTTGGGGAGTAGGTCTGTTCATATTTTCTTCTACAGTGGGGCCATGGAACCCACATAGGAGGAAAAGGGTCCTTCACTTACTTACTTACACACTCATATAACTTTTTGGTTTACAAACCTGTCGCTGTATTTTGTGACTCTCAAATGTCAAATGCCTGCATCTTGTTCACAGATTGAAATAATGGAGTCTCGGCTGGCCATAGCCTGTCCGGAGTGCTCCGAGCTGTTTCATCCCAATGATATCCATGCCATAGTGCAGGATAGTGTTCTCATTGAGAAGTACGAGAATTTCATGGTGCGGCGAGTTCTGGCAATGGATTCTGACACCAGGTGGTGCCCGGCTCCAGATTGTGGGTAAGAAATGCGATATCTTGATTAAAATACCATTTCTTTGCTAGCCTAAATATCTAGTTTCTTGTCTTTCTCCTACTCTTTGTGCCATAAAGCATCACAGAAAGGAGTTAGGTGTAGTTTCTTGTCTTTTATCCTACTCTTTGTGCCATAAAGCATCACAGAAAGGAGTTAGGTGTAGTTTCTTGTCTTTGATCCTACTGTACAGAGTGTGTACAGTTCGGAGGAGCAGATGGATCACCACAGTCTGGTGAGATAGATGCAGCGGGGAGTGACGAGAGGTTCAGAGGAAAGGCAAGACAGACATTTAATCAGAATGCTACTGGCACCATTAGTATCAGAACTCTTCGCTGGCTCCTGAAGATGACGGAGCGCTTATGGGAATGCTGTGATGTCGGTTCTTAAATCAAATCAATTATCCTACTGTTTATGCCATAAAGTATTACAGAGAAGAGTTCGGTGTAGTTTCTTGTCTTTTATTCTACTGTGAACAAAGACTGTACAATTTATTGCCTGGCATATTTCGCTGTATCTCATCAGGTGCATACTTTTATCCTACTGTTTATGCCATAAAGTATCACAGAGAGGCGTTCGGTGTAGTTTCTTGTCTTTTATCCTACTGTTTATGCAGTTAACCGGTTCTGCACCATTTGACGGTGAATGGATGTATGACAAGCTAGACGTTGTGAGGGCCCTCTGGGAGCGAATGAACAGTGCCGAAGTGCAAATAGATCATTGCCGTCTCAGGAGAATGGCGCTGCGAGGAGTAATCAGGGGATATGGCAGACACTCAAGGGTAGGGCAAGACGGATATGCAAACAGTTACTGGTACCATCAGAATTGGAACTCTTCATTTGCTGCTGAAGATGGGGACGGAGCACTTATGGGGTTGTGCTGAGTGCTGTGATGTCAGTTCTCAATTCAACATTCATTTAATAAATCAATCATGATGAAAAGATTATTCTTAAATTAAAGATGTGGTCCCAGTTTCCCCTGCCTTGTCTGAAAACCCACTTGTACTTCATGTATCACATATTGTATTTTCCTTTAAACTATCTTTGTGATAATTTCTTCAAAATTGATTTATTATGACTTATTCCAGCTATGCAGTAATAGCTTCAGGGTGTGCCGGCTGTCCAAAGTTGAAGTGTGAGCGGGAAGGATGTCATACATATTTCTGCTATCACTGCAAGCAGTACTGGCACCCTAACCAGACTTGCGACGCTGCCCGAGCCGAGCGCTCTCCCCACATGAGGTCGGCCTCCGTCAGCTGCAGTCAGGAGTCAAATGCTCACAGTGAGTAACTTCTTCCTTGGTGGCCAGGTCATCATCACATTCTCACTTCATTTTTACCTGCCATTCGTTAATATCTTTGTTTTGTCGGTTACTATTGTTATACAGCAGTTGTCCCCAGAAAATCCCTGCAGAAACCCTGCAGTTGCATCAATAATCCCCTGTGTCTGTCTTTCTTGTGGTCTCTGTTATCATTATGTGGCAATGACCTGGGAAAAAAGTTTAACTTGCTTTCCATAATATCCTTCTTTAATCTATCTTTGACCCTTTCATCCCGAGAACTCTTAAAGAAAAAATCAAGCCATGAACCCCTGTTAATTTGTTTCACACAGATTGCTGATTAACAAGTGTATTTATCAACGATTTAAAATTATTTTCCAAAATGTATAAAGATATATGAGAGGTTATCAGTAAACATAAGTGGGGCGAAGCATTTAATGGAATACATCCTCAGGGCCTAAAAAAAAACACCACTCGAATATCAGCTGACTTATATCGTGACACCTTGACCTTTTCACTGAGGCTTTTGAGAAAATCTTATGTCTTCATTGCTATTAAAAATTTTAAAAATTTAGCACAAAAGAAAAACCTCCTTCTAAATGCTGTTGTTAGTTAATGTATTATATCCTGTCCTCCTGAACATTTGGGCAGGCAGGAACTGAGCCAGTAGTATTAACTATACAAATAAACGTGTCATGGTAGGCGTAGGAAAAGTGACAAGTACGACAAACTGGACCCCACCAATATTAACTATACATATCATAAACATGTCATGGTAGGCTTAGGAAAAGTGACAAGTACGACAAACTGGACCCCACCAATATTAACTATACATATCATAAACATGTCATGGTAGGCGTAGGAAAAGTGACAAGTACGACAAACTGGACCCCACCAATATTAACTATACATATCATAAACATGTCATGGTAGGCGTAGGAAAAGTGACATGTACGGGAAATTGGACCCCCACCGGAAATGTCAGTTTTTCAGCTCCGTGGGACAAAAGAGTTATTAGTCCTTTTTTTACTTTATCCTCATCCACCACTGACCAAGGGAAACACTGCAGTTTAATTCATATTCTTATTATATTGATTCCTGCGTCAGCATGTCTTATATTGGTCCCTGTATCTGTTTGTCTATTACAATTGTCTGTTGCCATACCTGGGAAGATGTTTTATAATCAGACTTTCAGAAAAATTTAAAAGAAAGCCTATGAGCTAGGAAGATCGGAAGGACACGTGTAGTTATAATGAATTTGGTTATGATGGGGGGGGGGGTAAGAATGGGGGCCATAAAAAAGGTCCAGTCGTCATCGGTAAAACAAGAGTTATGTTATCGCAATGTTTGTTGGGTGTCCCATGCGAGCTCATTCCTCGGATGCAGCAGCCGTGCCAGTGTGCACATACTGGTTGTTTCCATGAAAAGTTGGTTCTAGTGTCTCCTTTGTTGTACTTCACTCACAGGTCACCAAAATCATGCTGGTGTCAGAAATACATCCTTATCTGCCAACCTAGCCTATACAACAATAATGACATCGGCTCTGTCTATGTTTCTTTCCGTATGCATCAGTGCATTACTTATACAAATGTCTGTGATTGTGTGACCTAGATGTTGGGAACAAGCTGTGTAAGGCCGGGGTGCTGGGTTCGATCCCAGCTGCAGACAATTTGTCTTATTTTGGTTTCGACAGTGGTACTGAGAGTTGACCGTTTAGGGTTCTGGGGCACCATTGGGGGGGGGGGGGGGGGGGAATAGACCCACTGCCCCGCTAACATGTACAAGTAAACTAATTAGCGATTTTCCTTTGAGTGAATCTGCCTGAGAGGTGAGGAACCAACAGTCTGCTTCTATCAGCCATGCCTGTAAAATGGATTTGCACACAAAACTCAAATTCTGAAAGAAGATAATTCCAGAAATGGACGACCAGGAGATTACAGCTGGTGAACACAAAGAAGTTTCTGTCATCTAGTGTTGGCCTTGAAATCTGCTTCTTTTCCTTCTCATTTTCTTCCCTGTTGTGTCCCATTAATCATTAGGACTGGACAGACTTTGAGCCTCTCCAAAGTGGTTAGACGCTCACCTACTGTCTGAATGTCTTGGGTTTGACCTCACATGGTTTTTTTTTTTTTTAAATTGGTCTAAACTTATCCATAGCTTCCATATAGATCAGATGCAAAATTGTTACCAGATATTAATTTTCAATATAACACAAGATAATGTGACTAGAGAGCTCAACAGAGTGAATGGATAAGACTCACAAAAACACAACCAAGCGTCTTTATCAACAGAGTACTAAATACAGCACAGATTTGATTTGATTCAAGAACCGACATCACAGCACTCGGGGCGTTCCCATAAGCTCTCCATCCCCATCTTCAGGAGCCAGTGAAGAGTTCCGATATTAATGGTGCCAATACAGCACAGGCTGTGACTGGAAAGCTCAGTGGACAAGACAGCACAGTTAATTTAACAAACCCCCTCTAAAAGCCAGGGCAGTAAAGATGGCCAGCAGGATGTTGACCACGTCAGCCACTGAGTGCCACTTGGTCTAGCACCATATGCCCTGTGGGCCACTGACATAAAAAGGGCCCTTGACTATGTCACTGATGATGATCTTACTTTGTGTCACAGATGAAATCAAGTCGTGCCCTCGCTGTGGTGCCTACATTGTGAAGATGGATGACGGCTCCTGCAACCACATGACTTGTGCAGTGTGTGGGGCAGGTTTCTGCTGGCTTTGTATGAAGGAAATCTCCGACCTTCATTACCTGAGGTGGGTTGCAACTGCCCGGCTTTTGTGTATAATATTGTCTTTTTTCGTTTTGTTCTTTTCTTTTGCTTGTTCTCTCACTTTTTCTTTCACTTCCTCTCTTGTTTCTTCTTTTTTTTTCACTGTGGGTTCCAGAACTCCCATTCTGAGGGAGAACTGAATATCCCCTTCCCCAGAAGCATGTGAAAGAAGTCAACTAATTGGGGATGTTTCCTTTGGAGTCAGAGTACATCTGCATAAGAGGCTAGGAACAAACAATATGAACGCAGAACTCAAGTTCTGGAACAGGGCTGGAGTCTAGAAGTGGATGAGCAACCAGAACTTTGCGCCGAAGAGGAAGAAGGTGTATCTTCTTATTTTATCCCTAAACAAGACTGTTGTTGTTTACAGCTAGGCTTAGTCGCCTTTTTAAAGCCATGTTTGTTAACGGGTGTCACAGACCTCTGGGTGACCTTGCTGGTCCGTGGCTTGTAGCTGGGCCTATGACAGACAGACTAACCTTTAACACACACTGAACCCGAACACACACGGCACACACGACAATCTTTATTGTAAGTACAGGTAAGACAATAGACAGTTGACTTCCCGCTGTGTGGCCACCTATTGCCTGGACCCTCTGGCCGAACGAGCTTTACAGTCGCCTCGCTCCCAGTACGTCCACAAGCAATCTCCTGGTGTACAAACCACAGCACGGCGAGATACGCTCTTAACTATTGAAACACTGACCAACCAAACTTTCACAGCCTCTGTCAAGCACAGGGTCAGAGTGCCAAGGTTAGACATTCTCTCACAGAACATGTACATAAAAACTCTACACAAAAACTATCCTATTCTAACAGAACACTGTACATAAACTATCCAGTCACTAACAGAAATATCCTAACTCTAATACTATCATTGTCTTGCTAAACGTCCTCTCTCCCTGACCGACGCACACCGAATGTCCTCTGTTCTCTCTACCTCGTCTCTCTTGACCCCGTTCACCAGCTCAGTCCCAAAAGCGGTAATTGTGTTGCGGATTTGTCCACAACACAGTTCACTCTTTCTTGCCGTGGCCAAACGCTTTATCCTGAGCGCTGGTTTCGCTGTGCAATCACAGAACGGACTTGACCAGTCATGGCCCTGACCTTTGTGTCAACCCTGGGGTGTCACCTCAACACGCACACCTTACGGTGTGGTACATTCCGCCACTGACTACTCACAGGGTTGTGACAACGGGCAGACTCATTATCACAGGACAGTCAAATGTCTCAAATCTCGACTTTAAGAGAAGTAGGAGCAGAAGTCTGTCAGTTTACAAATGAAAGGCAGAGATTGTCGAGTGTGTTGCAATGAACTACATTGTGAAAATGACTCTTCATTGATAAGTAGACTTTTAAAGCTTCAGTTCAAAATAGTTACTCTTTTGTCTGCCACTCTTCTGTTATTTTACTCTGCTGTCCTAGTTTAGCTCCATATTACTTTCGTGACACTGCTCTGATGTAATTGTTTCTGGTTGTGACTTTAGTCATCGGGGATCTCTGTGGTCCAGCTTGCTTTGCGCTTGGAATTTTGTGGATGCGTTCCACCACTGTGCTGGTTGGTTCACAATCAGTTCTCGTTGTGCCTAGTGGCACATGAGGCTTCAGGGAGGACTTTCCATGCTTTCCTGTCCTGTGCAATCTTCAGTGCAGTTTTCCATGTCAAAGATGCCGCACTCAGGTCACTTTCCATCGTTCGTCTCCATGTTGTTTTTGGGCGCCACTTTTTCTCTTTCCCTCTGGTGTCCATCCATGTGAGAGCTGTTTTGGCAGGTATATCAGGATTGATTCTCATAACGTGGCCAAGCCATTTCCATCTTCTCTTGGTTATCATACATTTGGTTCGCAAGTTCACTTTTTAATGAGGTTCCTGGGGATCGTTGCCAGTACTACAGAGTTTATGCTTTATTTGGCAACCTCTCAGCAGGTGGCTAGCTGTTGTGCAGAGAGACTGAGCCATGTGGGATAAAACCCAGTGCAATGAAGTAGCTCTTACCTTTGACCTTGTGTGAAAATTCTTTCTTTCTTGATTGTTCTACCACTGCATAGGTTAGAGAGTATCAACACTAAATGTTAACGTTATTTCATCATTGGATGGATTAGAGAGTATCAACACTAAATGTTAACGTTATTTCATCATTGGATGGATTAGAGAGTATCAACACTAAATGTTAACGTTATTTCATCATTGGATGGATTAGAGAGTATCAACACTAAATGTTAACGTTATTTCATCATTGGATGGATTAGAGAGTATCAACACTAAATGTTAACGTTATTTCATCACTGGATGGATTAGAGAGTATCAACACTAAATGTTAACGTTATTTCATCGTTGGATGGATTAGAGAGTATCAACACTAAATGTTAACGTTATTTCATCATTGGATGGATTAGAGAGTATCAACACTAAATGCTAACGTTATTTCATCATTGGATGGATTAGAGAGTATCAACACTAAATGTTAACGTTATTTCATCACTGGATGGATTAGAGAGTATCAACACTAAATGTTAACGTTATTTCATCATTGGATGGATTAGAGAGTATCAACACTAAATGTTAACGTTATTTCATCACTGGATGGATTAGAGAGTATCAACACTAAATGTTAACGTTATTTCATCATTGGATGGATTAGAGAGTATCAACACTAAATGTTAACGTTATTTCATCATTGGATGGGTTAGTGAGTATCAACACTAAATGTTAACGTTATTTCATCATTGGATGGGTTAGTGAGTATCAACACTAAATGTTAACGTTATTTCATCATTGGATGGGTTAGTGAGTATCAACACTAAATGTTAACGTTATTTCATCATTGGATGAATTAGAGAGGATTAACACATGGATGACGGCTCCTGCAACCATATGACTTGTGCAGTGTGTGGGGTTGCATGGGTTAGAGAAAATTAACACTAATTGTTAATAATATTTCATCATTCTATAGGTTTGAGAGGTAGTTTAGAGAAGATTAACACTAAATGTTAGCATAATTTTATTATTACATGGGTTCCGGGTTAGGATTAACCTTAAATGTTAACATTATTTATTACTGTTCCTGCAGTCCATCTGGCTGTACTTTCTGGGGCCGCAAGCCATGGAGCCGTAAGAAGAAGATCCTGTGGCAGCTGGGGACTTTGGTGGGAGCTCCAGTAGGCATCACGTTGGTGGCCGGTATTGCTGTGCCAGCCATGATTATTGGAATTCCTGTGTGGGTCGGCCGGAAGGTATGCTCATTTATGTTTCTTTTTGTGTGTGTGTGTGTGTTAATTTACAGCAGACTTGCTATTCTTTCCTGCCCCTTTTTTGGAGACCTGCATTGCTTGACATATGCGGTTTCTTCTTCTTCTGCCTTTTTATCCCCCAATGGAGCATAGGCCCTCAACCAACTCACGCCAAGTCGTTCTATCCTTCGCCATTACATGGAGCTCTCCCCATGTCCTCCCAATCTTTCTAACCTCATTCTCCAGCTCTCTTCTCCATGTGTTTTTTGGCCTTCCTTTATTCCTATGCCCCTGTGGGTTCCAATGCAAAGACATTCTAGTTATGCTGTTCTCCTGTTTTCTCAGTGTGTGCCCTATCCAACGCCAGCGTCTTTTCCTCACCTCCTGATCCACTGGAGCCTGTTTAGTTCTCTCCCAAAGTTCTACATTAGTTATTCTATCATACCATTTTATTCCCTCTATTCTGCGCAGGCACCAGTTAATGAATGTCTGTAATTTATTAGTAATTGCCTTCGTTGTTCTCCATGTTTCCGCCCCATACAATAGTACTGATTTGACATTAGAATTAAAAATTTTTTAGTTTAGTATTTCTTTTAATTTCTTTTGACCTCCACAAATTCCCTAGTGCTATGAAAGCCCCTCTTGCCTTTTGTATTCTTATTTTAATATCTCTATCAGTTCCTCCATCTTTATCTACATTACTGCCCAAATAGGTGTACGACTCCACGTCTTGGAGTGGGGTGCCATCAAGAGAAACCACATTACTATTTGCCTGATTTATTCTCATTATCTTTGTCTTTCCTTTATGGATTTTCAGACCAAGCTGCTGTGATCTCGCATTAAGTATATTTAATTTATCTTGTATCTGATTCCGTGAATGGGACAGAAGGGCAATATCATCAGCGAAGTCCAGATCATCAAGCTGTTTTGTAGGGGTCCACTGAATTCCATTCTTGGTGTTAGCAGTTACTGTTTTTCATAGTCCAGTCTATAGCCAGTAAAAATAGGAGAGGCGACAAAAGACATCCCTGTCGCACACCTGTTTTTTATTTCAAATGCATCTGTTAGCTTTCCCTCATGAAGAACTCGACATTTCATGTCTTTATATGTTGCCTTTACTAAGTTGATAATTTTCTGTGGGATTCCATAGTGCCCCATCAATTTCCAGAGAGATTCCCTATCAATGCTGTCAAATGCTTTTTCATAGTCTATAAATCCAATGTAAAGTGGTGAGTTCAGTTCAATGCTTTGCTCTATTATAATACGTAATGTGGCTATCTGATCAGTACAGGATCTGTTGGACCGAAAACCCCGCCTGCTCATCTCTTAGCATTTTATCAATAGCATCTTTTAATCTTTCTAAAATAATTCTACTTAATATTTTTTCCAGGAACTGACAGCAACATAATTCCTCTATAGTTTTCACACTCCTGTAGATCACCTTTTTTGGGCAGTTTCACAAGATATCCTTCCCTCCAGTCTGCTGGTATTTCTTCGGTCTCCCAGACTTTACTGAATAATCTATGTAGCAATTCTGTTGATGTGTTTATGTTGGTCCTGATGGCTTCAGCTGGGATACCATCTGGGCCTGACGCCTTTCCTTCCTTAAGAAGATTTATAGCTTTTCTAATTTCCTCTTTGGATGGTATCTCACAGTTGATATTCAGTTCCATTTCTAAAGGCTGGATATCTGGGGGAACCTCTGGGCCTGGTCTATTTAGAAGCATTTCAAAATATTCAACCCATCTGTCCATTTGATCTTTAGTGTTAGTAAGTACCTTTCCTTGACTATTTTTGATTGATCCAGTTGGCTGACTATATTTACCTACTAATTTTCTTGTGTTGCTGTAAAGTTCTCTGAGGTTACCTTTTGCTGCTGCTGTCTCCGCTTCTTGTGCTAGATCATTTAGATATTTCACTTTATCTGCCCTTATATGCCTCCTAACTTCCTTGTTGGCTTCTGTGTAATTCTCCTGAGCTCTAGCTTTAGCAGCTCTAGTTTTGCTATTGTTTAATTCTGCCTTTTTACTTTTCCTGTCTTCAATCAGTTTAATGGTTTCTGGTGTTATCCATGCTTTATGTTTCCTTTCTTTCTTGCCAAGAACTTCTACGCAAGATTCATTCCAGATTCCTTTGATCTGATCCCAGCAGACTTCTGTGTTGACATCTTCAGCTAACTGCTGCAACCCCTGGTACTTATTAGAGACCGTGACTGAGAACTGTTCCTTAATTTCTTTATCTCTGAGAAAGCCTACATTATATTGGTTTCTATGATTATAAGATGTTATATATCTTTTTAGTTTCAACTTGATCTTACTTATCACCAGGAAATGGTCAGTAAATACATCGGCACCTCTGAAAGCCCTAACATCGTAAAGGGATGATCTAAACTTTTTGTTAATACATATGTGGTCAATTTGATTAGTTGTCTTATGGTCTGGTGATTCCCATGTTGCCTTGTGTATTCTTTTATGGGGAAAAAAATACTTCCACCAATAACATACTGGTTACCTGCACAAAAATTTGTGAACAATTCTCCATTTTCATTCATTTCTCCTAGACCATGTCTCCCCATAATTTCTTCATAACCTGTGTTGTCTGATCCTATCTTAGCATTCAAGTCACCCATCAAAATTTTTAAGTTGCCCTTTCTTTCATTATTTATAATATTCTGAAGCTGCATGTAAAATTCTTCCTTAACAGATGCATCTTTATCATTTGTTGGTGCATAACACTGTATTACCGACATGTTCACCTTCTGTTTTACTGTTCTAAAAGATGCTCTTATTATTCTGGGATTCACAGCTTCCCATTCTATTAGTGCTCTGTCTGCTTCTTTTGATAGCATCAGGGCCACTCCTTCACTGTGCGGCGAATTTTCCTCTGTGTGTCCTGAGAACAAAATAGTTTCTCCTGAATTGAGAATACTTTTCCCTGTCCCAGTCCATCTAGTTTCACATAACCCCCAAAATACTAATTCTATAATGTTTCATTTCCTTTGCTACTTCCATTGTTCTCCCTATATCATAGAGAGTTCTAACATTCCAGGTGCCAATTCTGGAGGTTTTCCTAGCTGAGAGGAGGTAAGTCAACGATCCGGACTCCTTACGGCTTTCTCCACACCGTGTCATACTTCTTCTATTTGAAGAGCCTCCCCTCATCTTGGTTGGCTGGAGTTTATTTGCTTCTCTTTTTGACTTATCCATGGTTGGTTGGTTTTTGTGGCTATGGTTTTTACAGGATGAGGTAGCCAACCTCACGCCCAACCCTACCCTTAGTCGCCTTTTACGACATGCCTGGTAGGGTGCAGTGTCACTATTCTTTGCTTCCCGTGAGGGCCCCGGTGACACACGGGCGATATGCGGTTTAGTATAGGTTAATAGGTACTGAAAGATTTTGGACAACGGGGAAGCAAAAAGACTGTTAAGCTTGATGAATCTTTACAGCAGAATTACTTAAAACAAATTAGAAAACAGCACAAGCTGTTATTGGAGTTTCTTCTTCTTCAGCATTGCAAGCTCTTGAGGTTCATTGCTGCAGATATCATTAGCCTCCAATTTGCTGCCTGTGATTGTGGAGCAGAAAGACAGACCCCTGAGCACATACTGCAGTACTGCCCTAACCTCTCCCAGCAAAGACTGTGGATCTGGCCCAAGGGAGCCACATTGCAAGAGAAGCTATGGGAGACCGGTGGCGACCTTAAACGCACAATCCTATTGACTCAGACGGGACTCAATGTTTAGCATGACAGATATCGAACGCAGAAGAAGAAGAAGAAAATTAGCCTCCATTTATCTCTGTGATTGGTCTTCCTCTTTCCAGTTGGTGACTAGTTGTTTCTAGGCCTGCAAATATATTATGATTGCATATATCAAATAACAACTTAGTAACAGCATTTTTTTTAAAAAAAAAGGAAAAAAGAAAGATGTGGACATGTATTTGTTAAATTAAGTGCGCTCTCTTCATGGTGGAGGTTGGCCTGTAACGCATCCACTGCTAGCGATGGGAACATTTCATGGTGGGCCCTAGACTTTTCAGTGGTGCGACTCTCGTAACACTACAAGCGACCAGAATGTTCTTTAGGGAACATTCAACCATTTTCTATTCATGTGGCCTCGTGTCTCAGAAAAAAAATTAGTTTGGCCGTATCAAGCACAACTGGATTTGAAAAACATACAAGCAGAAGGCATGGTACCATGAAAAATTGGCAGGGGCTGACCAGGATATAAGTGACACCTTGAGTAGGAAGGTGAAAGAGCTGGGGAGGGACCTTTTAGACACTGAGATGAGAGCGACATGACCTGCTACACGATGATGATAATTTCTGAATAGATTTCAGAGGTTCTGCTATCATGAATGTATTTTGTTGCATGTTGAATCAAGAATCAACATCACAGCACTCTGGACATTCTCATAAGCACCGCGTCCCCATCTTCAACAGCAAATGCAGAGTTCCAACTCCGATGGCACCAGTAACCGTCTGATTGTATGTCCGTTTCCCTGAGTGTTGCGCATCAGTCAGATCCTCTGGTCACTCCTTGCAGCATCATTCTCCTCAGACCGCAGTGATCTGTCTGTTCACTCGCTCCCAAAGGACCCTTGCAACATCTGGCTTGTAATGCGTCAGTATACCATCAAGTGTCACAGAACCGACCAGTCTGTCCGTTTGTATCCTAACGAAAAGAACAAGTTACTAAAGAAAATAAGTAATGTTCTGCCCTGGGTGCATTATTTAATGACTGAAAGCTACAGCTCAGTGCAGTCTATAGAAGTTGTAACTAAAGCCATCACTGTCGTCTGCCGAGAGAATTTTCTAGACAAGAAATAACAGCTGCTTACCTAAGCTGTCGCCTTACAGCCATGTTTAAGCTGTCGCCTTACAGCCATGTTTCGGACTTCTCTGCAGCTTTTGTCTGTGTAGAACCAAGTCTAGACTTTCTCGGCACATGACAAAGTAACATGACCTTTATTATTAAATCTGAAAACATGATTACGGGTTTCAGTCTGGCTTCCATTGCCATTTCTTCAAAGCTAAATGTGGATTCATCAAGGAACTACATAAATCTTGAGTATATCTGTCTGTCTGTTTCCAACACACTGCATTGTCTGGAGAAAATGTCAGGAGGACACTCATCTACTGGGGACTTATCTGTTAAAATTACCTATTGTTACGATGTCTTTCCTTTTATTGCTTTATCAGGTAGATTCACAGTGGTGTTGACCATTGCCAGTTTCTCTTTTAGATTCATTATCGCTATGATGGAGCCTCCAAACACAAGCGAAACCTGGCGATAACTGGGGGCGTGGCTGCATCCATTATCGCAGCTCCGATTATTGCTGGCCTTGCTGTTGGTAAGTCTGGCCTAGTCTAAAAAATATCTGGCAGTTGTAAAAGTATATTGTTTCTGATTTGGTTTCTTTTCCATCTTTAAAAGATAACCAAAAGTGTTGAAAGAACAATGAAAGGTGTGTTTTTTGGAGTACAGTCAACTTCACAGTATCAAAACCATGAACATTTCTGTTAGAAAATCATCAGCATACAACAAAAATGGACAATGTTACAGTTACCACCCCTTCCCCCCCCCCCCACCCAAATGCACACAGAATCATTGAGTGAGTGGGTACCAGGTGCAGTCCTGGGAAGTAAAGGCGGCCGACGTGATGCTGACCACATCACCCACCAACTGCCGATTGGTTTATAAAAATATGTCTAGCCCTATATTCCCAATACGCCTAAGGGACCCTTATTAGGATATATTGTAAAACTCCCCATCCATGACACAGTCTTGAAGACCCATTCAGCGTCCTCACACACAACAGACTGGGCAGGCATGTGTACAAGACATTCATGATTGGGGATTGGGCACTTTGCCCATACAGACATGCACCACAGATTACTGAACATATCCTGCAGATTTCCTGTGTGCATACAGTAGAGAGATCTCAGGTTTGGCTGGCTGGCATTCCAGTAGAAACATGATCTGCTGAACAGTAGAAAACGTGCGTGGCACCACAGACTTTGTCGATACATGTGACTTTCTCATCTAAAAACCGTTGGCAGAGAGAATGAAAAGAAAAAAAACCTATCTGCAAGAGAGGGTGTGCCCCGCATAACAGGCTTGAACTTTAGACACCGGGTGCCTGTGTGTTGTATAAAAGAGATATCAGGCAGTATTTTGATATTGTCAGTTGGATGAGTCTTGTGTGTGTGTGTTTTTTTTTTTACATTGGAATAAAGTAAAATGTTTAAGGATCATTTCATCCTAGCAAATTGTGATAGGCTTTCTTCATGTTGGTGAATAGATAACCCAGTTAACCATCTTTGATAAGATTTAATGGCTGCGTGTGTTCTGAACACCTGCACATTGCTGTGATCCTCATCATATAACTCTGGTTCTGAGAGGTGCAAACCTGGTACAGTTGTCCAGCATTCATCCCCAGGAAGCTTCTAATCTAGCATTGCTGCATTGGCCAGTCCCTGACAAGACCAGTAAACAGTGTTGGTTCTTTATGTGCCTGCGCAGTTTCAAGGGTATGATTACATTTGCTAAAACTAGCATTGTGTGGGAGTTATGGGGTGAAAAAGTTTTTTTCCAGGGTGTCATGATGATGTCATAATACTCCCTTCAAGGGTTGGACACAAAGGTCACAGTATGGGTCACTGTGTCAGATATTCACTATAAAGAAACTGTTTAATTCTCCACTCCACTCATATTCATTGATGATTAATCACTTTTGTATGTTTCTTTTTAAAATATGTTTTAAATTTATATACATTTCATTTGTATTTATTAGTGACTTCTGCTGGTTTTTTAAAAGGTTTTTTGAGAATTCCTAGGTTTGTGAATTTGTCTTCGAAGGGTTACTGGGGAGAAAGGGTTTGAGCAGATGTCTGTTTGCTGTTGCAGGTATTGGGGTGCCCATCTTGCTTGCCTATGTCTATGGAGTTGTGCCTTTCTCCCTGTGCCGCAGTGGAGGCTGTGGAGTGTCCACCACCAACACTGGGGGTGTGCGGTTCGAGTTTGATGAACATGATGACAGTAACACACAGGGGCCTTACGCTGGTGAGTGACGCACATGTCCGTGTCCTCCTCGTTTTCTCTGATAGTTAGCATAACTTTTGAGTGAACAATGAAGAAATGTGATGCAGGAAGTAGCAGAACATACCCCTCAACTCATCAGGGATGTGGAGGTTTATCAGTGGAAGCACTGGCAAACAAAACCCACCATCTTCCTCTGTCTTCTGCTTGTTGAATAAATGTGTAGTCATTTAGTCTTGTCCATTTCTTGATGATGTCATTCCAGGTTCTTCTTTGCCTCCCTTCTTTGACTCCCTTCTTTGACTCCCTTCTTTGACTCCCTTCTTTGACTCCCTTCTTTGCCTCCCTTCTTTGACTCCCTTCTTTGCCTCCCTTCTTTGACTCCCTTCTTTGCCTCCCTTCTTTGCCTCCCTTCTTTGACTCCCTTCTTTGCCTCCCTTCTTTGACTCCCTTCTTTGACTCCCTTCTTTGACTCCCTTCTTTGACTCCCTTCTTTGACTCCCTTCTTTGACTCCCTTCTTTGCCTCCCTTCTTTGACTCCCTTCTTTGACTCCCTTCTTTGACTCCCTTCTTTGACTCCCTTCTTTGACTCCCTTCTTTGACTCCCTTCTTTGCCTCCCTTCTTTGACTCCCTTCTTTGACTACTCCTTCCCCCATGTTCCTTGGAGTATGGTCTTTGAGCCATGACTCACCACGTGCCCGAACCCAGCTAGTTTGTGATGTTTCACCACTGCCAGGAGAGGCTCCTGATGTCTGCATGTTTGGTAGTTTTTTTTTTCAGAAGCCTAAATCTTCCCTTCCATTTCCACAGTGATGTCTCACTCGCACATCCATATAAGAATATAGATATTACCAGTGATTTGTGAATATTTACCTTTACTACTACCGTAATTTGGCGCTTCCACGTCGTATTTGGCTGTAGAAAATATTTGGTGGCGAACGAACAGTTGGAAGATCTCGATTTTGCAGATGATGATGTTCTGCTAAGATCAGTGATAACATGGAAAACAGATGATTTAGCAAATATAGTGTCTGACATTAGAAATAACCTGTGAAAAGACAACTATATCACAGGCATTGATTACAGATCAAGCAGACTTGAAGCACTGGGGACACAACGGAATTAAAGTAGCAGATACAGTTAACTGTTTAGGTACCACTTTTTGTTTGCCGAGGAAGCGTTTAGAAAGAAGTTATTACACCAGTTGGCATGGCAACATCTTTTAAAATGTGAACAAACATGGGACTCTAAATTATTTGGTTTAAAATCAGGTTAATTGTTATTTCCTTGTTAACACCTGCCACAGACAGCTGAAGAGTCACTAAGGACATGAAGCAAATGATAAATGCTCTAGACAACAGATACCCAATTAAAACATGTTCTGTGGAGAAGCAAACAGAGTCACCAAACAGGCAGTTAAATATGAAGCACATTGAATGAGGAAACAAGAATGTCCAAAAGAAAGCCTAACAGGAATGGTCGTGAGAGAGGCTTAAGGTGCTGGTTTAAGTCCCATCCATGATATTGAAACGCATAGGATAGACCGGAATGGGGAAAATAAACTGCAAGCTCTGTGTGGTGCCTAACTGTGCATCAAGGTGATAATTGGTCTGGCTCTCTGGAGCTTTTTCTCAAGCTCCACGTTATTCTTAACTTAAGCTCTATTTTGTTGAGTTAATCGATCTTGTAGTTTATCGTCAGTTTAAATTCCATCTTCTGTCAGGATATATTTCTCCCAAACATTATAACAAATGAACTGGCAAACAAACTATTTTCATAGAGTCACAAATTTGGCAAATTTTCACTCTCTTCCTCTCTTTCCTGTCTTAAAAGATAAGCATAAGCTTTAGTCTCTCTCTCACTTTCCTTCTGGTTAACCAGAAGCAAGGAAATCAAAAATAAACATTTTGAGAGCTTGCATCTTCCCTGTATCAACATACAGATGTGAGTCGTGGACTCATCTTCCCTGTATCAACATACAGATGTGAGTTGTGGACTCATCTTCCCTGTATCAACATACAGATGTGAGTGGTAGACTCATCTTCCATGTATCAACATACAGATGTGAGTTGTGGACTCATCTTCCCTGTATCAACATACAGATGTGTGTGAGTCGTGGACTATCTCCTAGTCCTAAAGGTAGCAAATAGGGGTTTTTGAACAAAACTTCTGTGAAAGATTCTCAGAATACCATGGACAAAGAAGAAGAAAAAAATACTAACATTTTATAAGATCTGAACATCAAGAAAGATTGGCTAATAAACAGCATCTTCAGCATCTTGTCTCGGAAGCTGAAATACTTTGGTCATATCAAGCGCCATTGCAGATTGAAAAAATAATATAATAGCAGAAGGCATGGTACCAGGCAGGGAGGGATAGGGGCTGACCAACAAGAAGATGGGCACAGGATATAACTGACTGATGAGTATGAAAGTACATGAGGTGGGAGATCTTGCAAGAGACCAAGTTTCTTTCAGGCAGATCGTGATGAGAGCGACGTTCTGCAGAGGGCCTTCTCCATGATGATGATGACTTTCCTTCCTCCTTCTGTGTTCTGTCTCTCCCCCTTTCTTGCTGTCTTATCTTTCTCTTCTCTTCAGCTGTTCTTTTCCTCTGCTTTTCCCTTGCCTTTCTCTTTCTTCTTCTCCCACATGAAAGCATCCATGCATTGTGACTTTCATTCTGTGTGTGTGTGTTTGATCGCCAGGTGATAACCACAGCATTGAAACAGCTCCCAACGTTGCCAACCCAAGCATTGCCCCCAGTATTGGTGATGCCAGCCTGGGGATGACTAACAGGTATCTAAGCTGTCTCTTTCTCCCTCACATCTCTTTCTCTATAATATCTCTTTCCTTCTTCCCTTCCCTGACCCTTTCGTTTTCTCTGCGTTATCTTTTCTCTCCCCCCCCCCCCCCCCTCTCCCACCCCACATTTGTCTTACTCTTCCATCCCTCACTCCTTTCCCTATCTTAGAAAATAAATGTCTTTTTTTTTCTCTTTCCTCTTTCGTTCTTCCTGTCGCTCCAATCCTCTTTCCCTTTTCTTCCTCTTTGTTGTCTCTTTCTCTCTCCATCTGTTTTCCATTGTCATAGGAGAAAACAAATATTGTATCACATAATTATGCCAACACCACCCTAGGAAATAGAAATTCTGAGGCCAGAATGGTCATTGTTAATGCTACATGAGAGACAACGTATACTGATGACCACAAATGTAAAATTACCGATTTTTCTGTGGCACAGATGCAAAGTCTACATATGCCAGTCACTGCAGCACAGCATCAGAATTATGCAAGAGTTCAAGGTTGTTATATAAGCCAATACAGAACAGGGATGACTTTGGTTCCCAGGTCGACCCAACCTTAAGGCCGTGTGCGGGTGTTCAGAACAGTAAATTTGGGTCAAGTCCGCTATTTTTGGAAAAGTTCGTTTTTACACGCCTTAGTATGTCTTCAGTTAGTGTTTGTTTTTTGTCCAAAATATGTTATTTTAATGCAATATTAATATTTTAATAAGCTAACCCTAGGTGTGAAATTATTTGTTTATTGAAATTTGTTACAAAATTGGTGAGTTTCGCACCTTGGCAATGTCATTTACACAAGGAGAGAGATAACTATTTATTATATACCGTTGTAATTGTAATTATGTCCCCATAGAAGTCTGTGGTGCTTAGTAGAAGATCCGAGCACTTGTGGGTATGCCCTATGTGTAGTGAAGATGATCCTGAAATTGACAATGAATTCTTCACCTGCTGTGTATAGACTACGGTGGGAAGTTCTGGCTGTTCGTCCACGTCTGGACTTTGGCCATCTTCCGAAACTTGAGTTTTGTGTACCCATCCATTTTACAGATCAGGCTTATTGTTTGCAGACTGTTGGTTCCTGACCTCTTAGCAGATGCACTTTGACTTTGAAGGAAATATCCCTAATGACTACATGCTTGTGAGGGGCCAATGTGCCTATTTTGTCCACACACACACTCTCTCTCTCTCTCTCTCTCTCTCTCTTCACCCCCCATAATTCACACAGGAAGAACAGTGAACTCAATGGTGTTATTTCCTTTGCTTTAGCTTGAGTGCCAGCGGTAGCCACATGGACAGGGCTGGTATTTTACGCGACGACAGCGACCGTGACTCTTCCAGCCACCGTGCCCTGGCAGGCAGCAGCATTAATGGCAGCTTGTGCAGCGCCACCTACAGTGCCCAGCATCACAAGTAAGTCTCTGTGTGTCTTACTGACCTATGTCATGTTAGGGCTTACTGGTCTACGTCATTTATGGGCTTACTGACCTACGTTATGTATGGGCTTACTGGCCTACATCATGTATGGGCTTACTGACCTACGTTATGTATGGGCTTACTGACCTACATCATGTATGAGCTTACTGGCCTACATCATGTATGGGCTTACTGGCCTACGTCATGTATGGGCTTACTGGCCTACATCATGTATGGGCTTACTGGCCTACATCATGTATGGGCTTACTAACCTACATCATGTGAGGGCTTACTGGCCTACATCATGTATGGGCTTACTGGCCTACATCATGTATGGGCTTACTGGCCTACATCATGTATGGGCTTACTGGCCTACATCATGTATGGGCTTACTGGCCTACATCATGTATGGGCTTACTGGCCTACGTCATGTATGGGCTTACTGGCCTACATCATGTATGGGCTTACTGGCCTACATCATGTATGGGCTTACTGGCCTACGTCATGTATGGGCTTACTGGCCTATGTCATGTATGGGCTTACTGGCCTACATCATGTATGGGCTTACTGGCCTACGTCATGTATGGGCTTACTGGCCTACATCGCTTACTGGCCTACATCATGTATGGGCTTACTGGCCTACATCGCTTACTGGCCTACATCGCTTACTGGCCTACATCGCTTACTGGCCTACATCATGTATGGGCTTACTGGCCTACATCGCTTACTGGCCTATGTCATGTATGGGCTTACTGGCCTATGTCATGTATGTGCTTACTGGCCTACGTCATGTATGTGCTTACTGGCCTACATCATGTATGGGCTTACTGGCCTACATCATGTATGGGCTTACTGGCCTATGTCATGTATGGGCTTACTGGCCTACGTCATGTATGGGCTTACTGGCCTATGTCATGTATGGGCTTACTGGCCTATGTCATGTATGGGCTTACTGGCCTTTGTTTCCTCCACAATAGGAGTTCGGAACCCACATGGGGAGAATGATTTTAACAAACTGTTTGTTTTCTTGACATAACTTTATAGGCTTCCCCCCCCCCCCCCCCTCCCCTACACATACACACACACACACACCTTCAGGTTGAATGCAGTTCATAACCTGTCTGAAACAGTGTCTACATTCAGACTGTTAGACTGGCTCCTTACAGTTTAAAACCATCTCCCTCGTGTGGGTTCCTAGGCCCTATAGTGGGGGAAAACAAGCAAAGACCCACTGCCTCCCTAACAAGCATGTACTTGGAGTCGACTAATTGGGGACTTCTTTCAAAGTTCGAGTGCATCTGCCTGAGAGAAGGGAAACAGCCAGTGCACGCAAAATTCAGGCCTTGGCACAAAGAGAAAGTCCAACTGGATGAACAACCAGGACTTTCCGCCAGAGCTTACAGCCGGTGAAGAAAGAAGAAGAAAATACTTATTCCCCATCCTTCACACATGCACACAACTTCATGTTGAACATTAATAAATTTTATACGGTGGACACTTTCTGGAGCATGTGTTTTCTTGATTGACAGACTGGAGGTGCAGGCAGATATCTCGGAGTCAGTCCACTGTGAGAGGTCCAGCGTTGGCGGGGAATCATACAACTTGTCTCTTAATGACGATGCCAGCACCAAGGCTCTAGCAGGTTCCATTATATCACACAGGTAGGTGGTAACAGGACAAAGTAGGGGATTGCTAGGTGTGGGCGAAGTATGGTGTGGCCTCGTGCCACGGGACCGCTACGGTAGCCATGAAGGCCACCCTGGGTCACCCCGAAACGTCCTGGCCAACGGGGCTCTGGTGAAGTTGCGACAGGCCTAGCAAGCCGGCAATGGATTTATTACCGCTACAGAAATCAAAATGAGACATAAGCGGACTGATCAAACGGCCCACTTAGAGAGAATGCCTTGTGACACCATACCATACAAAGCATACATGGAAAGAGGAGGACGTAGAGCACGGGGTAGACCAAGAACAAGATGGAAGGATAACATCAGAGAAACTCTACAACACCATGATGTGCCTATGGTCGAAGCAGCCAGAAGAGCTAGAAACAGAACCTTATATCTCCCTCGACACCCACAGCGGTAAAAGAGGAAGTGAAGAAGAAGAAGAAGGGGGGCATCACTAGTCTCATTCTTTAGCATTCGCCCGTCAAAGGGCAGTTGGGGGAATGCGTTGTGGTTTACAGCTGCACTGCGATAGCTGCATCCTTCTGTCCAACATATCTTTATTATTGTTTATTTGCGCCATCCGGCTGTAAACTCCGGAGAAAAATTCTGGCTGTTCATCAGCCTCCAGACTTTAGTCTTGTTTCAAAATCTGAGTGTTGCCTGCACATCCGTTTCACAGATCTGGCAAATTTGTATGCATGTAGTTGGTTCCATGCCTCTCAGGCTGATATACTCTGACTTTGAAGGCTACCCCAAGTTAGTAAACTCCAGTGACATACCTGTTGGGTCAGTAGGTCTTTTCTTTGTTTTTCCCCACAGTCGGGCCCCAGAACCCACACAGGAAACAGCTGTTTTTACCAAGCACTTTAATTGTTAATTTTTTTTTAATTGACGTGCTTGTCAAGGGGCTGTTTGTCTGCTCTTGTTTCCCCACAGAACTGGATCCTGGAACCCACACGGAGACACGGGGGGTTTCAGCATTTTAACGTGCTTCTTGTTTTAGATTTACAAAATTACAGCATTATGTCCAGTGACTGTAAGAAATAAAAACTAGACAGGGAAAAATCCAGTTTCATCCATGTCATCCATTTTCCATTAGCACAGATGTGTCATTTTTTTGTGTGGTTCCTAACCACTTTTCCCTGTAGACCTTATGAAAAACAGTCCAGTCTTTGTGGAAGACTTTTCTTGACACAGGCGGATCTTGCTAGTCACATTCGCTATCGCCATGGGTTGTGAGTCCCATGCAATATAACACTATCGTCTGGAAAAACGGAAAGGTGCCAATCATATTTTCAAAAACTGTCCAGTCCCTGGGAATCTATGAAAAATCCGTAAATAAACAACCATTTCATGAAGGTAACTAAACATATTGATCGAAGAATTAATAGGATTTAGCTCCCCTTGGCTTTCAAGAATATTATTGGATGACTCATGTCGTGACCTATTTGAAATTCAAACGCTAAAGACAAATTATGACATAAAATTTTAAAATAGTCAGTTATTTCCCACAGAGAAACATCTCATCCCCTCCCCCTCAAATGCTATTTTTAGGAAAAATATTTATGTCTTGACCTAACACTGCGCAGGCACAAATACAGCCAATAGCAGTAACTTGGCTTCTCAGGGACAGACAGCTTTAGAGATGCCAGATATGTGGATTTATAGAATGGAACCACTGGTGGATGTGCTGCAATTCCTGGTTTCTCCAGGCAAAAGGTTGGAGGTTTCAGTGCTGCAACTCCTGGTTTCCCCAGGCAAAAGGTTGGAGGTTTCAGGTTTCAGTGCTGCAACTCCTGGTTTCTCCAGGCAAAAGGTTGGAGGTTTCAGGTTTCAGTGCTGCAACTCCTGGTTTCCCTAGGCAAAAGGTTGGAGGTATCAGTGCTGCAATTCCTGGTTTCCCCAGGCAAAAGGTTGGAGGTATCAGTGCTGCAACTCCTGGTTTCCCCAAGCAAAAGGTTGGAGGTTTCAGGTTTCAGTGCTGCAACTCCTGGTTTCTCCAGGCAAAAGGTTGGAGGTTTCAGTGCTGCAACTCCTGGTTTCTCCAGGCAAAAGGTTGGAGGTTTCAGTGCTGCAATTCCTGGTTTCCCCAAGCAAAAGGTTGGAGGTTTCAGGTTTCAGTGCTGCAATTCCTGGTTTCCCCAAGCAAAAGGTTGGAGGTTTCAAGTTTCAGTGCTGCAACTCCTGGTTTCTCCAGGCAAAAGGTTGGAGGTTTCAGGTTCCACTGCTGCAACTCCTGGTTTCCCCAGGCAAAAGGTTGGAGGTTTCAGTGCTGCTATTCCTGGTTTCCCCAGGCAAAAGGTTGGAGGTTTCAGGTTCCACTACTGCAACTCCTGGTTTCCCCAGGCAAAAGGTTGGAGGTTTCAGTGCTGCAATTCCTGGTTTCCCCAGGCAAAAGGTTGGAGGTTTCAGGTTCCACTGCTGCAACTCCTGGTTTCCCCAGGCAAAAGGTTGGAGGTTTCAGTACTGCAATTCCTGGTTTCCCCAGGCAAAAGGTTGGAGGTTTCAGTGCTGCAATTCCTGGTTTCCCCAGGCAAAAGGTTGGAGGTTTCAGGTTTCAGTGCTGTGGTTGTGACTGAGATATGTTTCTTTAGCTGCTGGGGTATCTGAATTGCTTGACATAATTTGTTTCTTTCACACCTTTTTGTGATAGCTACATGTATTTCTAGCTGGTGATCACTTTACCTTTCTGTTTAACAGGGACAAAGACGGGATCTCTCTGTGCTCAAGACGCTTTGATACTACATCAGGCCACCTTGCCTACCCAGAGGAAACCAGTGAAATAGAGGATGAGAAGTGCACCTCTCCAAGTGGAGGACAGCAGCAGGCTGGAAGCTCTTCATGCCCGGCATCCCCCCACACACGCAAGGCCAGTCCAGCACCTTCGGAGGATGCCCGCAGCACTAGGAGCAAGAAGTGTACCCGCTTCATGGACCAGGTGTCGGAGATCGAATCCAAGATTGACAGCGCCAGTATTGGGTCCATGTTCAGCAATGACAGCATGTCGCCAATTTGTGACATTGTCTCCACGACAGTAGCAGCCTCTTCAACGCTGTCACTGACAACTAGCACAGTTACTGCTCCCAAGACAGCTCTGACCAGTTGTGAGAGTTTGGTCAGTGAAGGCAAGTATGAATCTGCTGGACACGTAGGGAAGACCTTCACCTTTGGCAGCAGTGGCAGGGTCAAAGCAGAATCCACAAGTGTGCTCATGGACTATGGCCAGGCCAGCAGAAGCGAAATGGGAAGAGCTTGGAAGAAGAGCGGCTCTGCATCTAGAGATGATCTCATTCCAGCGGAGTGTTCAGTTTTATCTCGGAGGAAAGGAAATGGTGCTTGCACCAGAGAGCACCAGTCCCAGCCAGGTAACCTGTCTGATATCTTTGAGATGAAAGGAATGCCGAACCTCCACACTGCCGGGTGTTCGGACCTTCTCGCCGTTATAGACACTAGCTGTGAGAATGTGTTCCTAAGCCGAGCTGGTCACACAAAGGCGCGGCTTATGTCCAACTCATCATGCTCTTCCTCATCGGTGGACCCACTAGAGGTCCTTACACGTGAAAACTTCATCATATGTGACAGGGCCATTTTGGAACCTTGTACTTCGTTAGAGGATGATGGAATCTATGAGTATGATGGCATTCTGAAGAACACCATGTGTAGTTTGCCTAATGTCAGCATTGGGGACAGGCAAAGACCCATTGGTGCTGAAGACATGCAGAGTTCGAGAGCCAGCCTTCAGCATGAACACAACGCAGCAGCAAATGTATCGCCTGAGGGTCGGAATGATGAAAAGAAGAACAGTGTTGTTGATGGTAAATGCAGTTTTCAGGAAGAATCAGGAGGAGACAGAGGAGTGGACAAACTGTACAGCCCGGTTTCTTTGTATAAGTCTGGCTTGTTTATATCAGCATCCAGCGGCAGTTGTGAGTCTCCCGGGGTGGTTTCCCACTTGCCTGATGTAGAACTTCCCCCGATGCCTGTCGAGGCTGACCCTGCAGTGTCCTTGAAAAATCCTGAATACAGAACATCACCGACCCCCTGCGTGCTGTCCGGTGAAAACAGCTCTGCTGCCGGTTGTGGTAATAATGGCTCACCCTCTTTCCCGCCAGCAAAACCTGGCAGAGGTCACAGTGCTTGTGGCCTTCACACTTAAACTTCAAAACAGTCTACCCCCTTCAGACATCTTTTGCAACAGCTGGGTTGTCTGCCATATCATTACCACAAATTTAGGAGGATGTATGCCCCAGTGTTTATCGAAATCCAAGAGCACACCTGGGTTTCTAGAACTACCCGCACAATCTAAGGCAGACAGGAAGTTGTAACCCTTAAAATAAGTCACCCTATCAGACCCTCGAAGGTAACTCTGTATGAAGTCTGCCAGAAATTGCTCTTACTAGACATGCCAATGGACAGCCAGAATCCCATGTGTCGAAAACAACAGCAGAGTACATATCAAACTCAGAGACTGGATGCAAGCTGTAGGACATCCCTTTGTGAAACATGGAATTAATATCAGAAAATAGTCAGTACTGGATGTCATCTGTCAGAAATTATTTTATGAAATGTGCTAAATTAGTGCAGGGATTGATGATCCATTTTAAAATGTTAAATTCCGCCCAGACAGTTGTCTGTGTAAATTGCCCTACACACCTCTTTTATATATCTAGCAATAGCGAAAGACCCATCTGAATTTAATACTTTCATTTTTCGAAAAATCTTTACTCGCACTGAATTACAGGGTGGCTTTTTAGCCACACAAGAATTTGAAATTAAATTTTAAAACTAAATACATTAAACAAGTCATTCTTTTTCTACTTGTTTTGTAAAGAGGGAAACGGGGTTGGGGGGAAATACCAAATATCATTTTGAATTTTGTGCTAGAAACAGCTGTAGAACTAAGTAGTCATCCCACACCAGGACAAAACCACAAGTGTCTTGAAAGACTGTATCATCAGTCCAGTTGTCTTCATATACAAACTATGACAGTGTATCTATGGACCCCCTTGCCTCTAGTGAGGAGGATACAGTTGATCATGCCCTGTCTAGTCCTTGGCTTGTTGCTGTCTCCTCTTTTATTCTTAGTCTTTTTTTTTTTTTCTTAAGGTTTTTTTTTTTCTTCAAAATTGTGTTTAAAAAATTATAATTCTTTAAAAGTGTGCCCTAAAATATATAAAAATGTAAAATACCCAGGGGTTTGTAACCCGTGATCATGGAGCAGACAGGCAAACCTGCTATCAGGGCCTCGCCATCACTAAAATTATGGATTTGTCATATTTAGAGTCATTTTGCACAGCAATGATTGTTTTTTAATGATGGGAACTTTAACAGCACAATGAAATAACTGCTTTCCTTTCCTCTGACCAAGAAAACACTTTTTGGTGACACGGGTAGCAAGGTGATGTCACCATAAAGTTTATTGTGTCACAATGGGGAAAAAAAATAGGTATTGTGTGTATACATGGTTCATCCCAAATATCTGAGAAAACTTGTAAATAAAAGCTGTTAAAAAATCGTATTGGCCACAGCTCCAAAACAATTTGCCCTCAAAAACCCCCAAAAGTCGGAAAACCGGCTTTTTCGTGCCGACAGGGTTTAATCTTGTCTTCCTTCTGCAAGTCCAAATCCTCTACCCTGAAACATGCAAGAGCCACATTGGCTGTCAGAAGTTCTGCAGTCAATGATTATATGACCACACACAAAAAACCTATATAATTTTTATTATTTCATGTTTTAAGTTTATATTATTTGTTGCCTTCAGTGTTCTCATGCAGAAAATGTACTGAAAGACTTGTCTTTTCCTGGAAGAGCTCTAAAACAAAATCTGGCTACACCCAGTACGCCTGCCAGCTAAGCTTTGGGTACTCGGAGACCTTGAGCTGACCTCCCAGTTTATTACTCACAGTGGGTTGGAAGCGCATGACCATAGATCACTAAAGAAGAAGTTACTAAAGAAAATAAATCATGTTCTGCCCTGGGTGCATTATTTAATGTCTGAAAACTACAGCTCAGTGCAGTCTATAGAAGTTGTAACTAAAGCCATCACTGTCGTCTGCCGAGAGAATTTTATAGACAAGAAATAAAAGCTGCTTACCTAAGCTGTCGCCTTACAGCCAGTTTTGGCCTTCTCTGCAGATTTTGTATTTGCAGAACCAAGTCTAGACTTTCTCGGCACAAAGGTACATGACCTAATTATTAAATCTGGACACATTACATGTTTACAAGGTTCAATCTGGCTTCCATTACAATTTCTACGAAGCTAAAAGTGAATTCATTAGGAGATTGCCGAAATCTTGATTTTGTTACAGAGTTGCAAGACCTGCTGAGCTAAATCTAGATTTTATTAACAGAATTTGGAGAGTCAAATCTGGATGCGGTGTGAAGCACATTCATATCTAACAAATCTGTAACTCATTATTTATGATATTTATTCACCTTGTTGCTGATATATGAGCCAAAATGATAAAATATGCTTATTTATGTACATATAAATGAATAAATGTGTTTCAAAATCGTCATTGTCTTGTGTATTCAGGCCTTGACGAGGGTCTCCATGTTCTGTTCGAGAAGCTTTTTTTAAATAAAATATCTTCATTTAACCAGTTTAGATGCCCGGCTCGCTAGCGTAGTTGGTTATAGCTGACTTCGCGGTGACCAGGTGATGAACTCCCTGCGGTCCGGGGTTAGGCAGAAAACCCTCATTTCTCCCAGATTTACGGTACTTATCATGGAATCAAGGCCGAAGGGTTGCGATATCTATAGTACCAAGTCAAAGGGTTAACAACTCATGGTTTCTGGATACCTTAAAAAAAAAAGATGTTACTTCCATCCTCTAGATTCATCATGTGTATCATATAGTTTTCTTGTGAGTTGGGTTATCTTTGTGGCACTCAGGTCACATTCAGAGGTGCTGAGATCCCTCCTTCATCAGCATCCTGCGGTTAGTAATGTAGTCCTGTGCTTGTTAACAAGACTTATTGTATGTTTGATGTGCCTCTAATGCTTGGCTGTATCAACCTTTACTTCCAAATCTGAGCAGCAATGTGTATACTCTTCTGCCAGAATCCTTGAATCATCCTATTAACAATGTCTGCATGATCCATAGGCCGACCCTCTGGAACTAAGGCAGAACTAGTCAGTTTATCAGCTCTTTTATCACCAACATCTGTAAGCCCTGGGACAAAGATGATAGTAACTGCACGCACAGGGGAATTTCACGACGGTCCATCATATCATCTAGCTTTAACGGGACTACAGAGCTGCCTCGGCTGATGAAGATAATTTGTGCCAGAATCACATTTGCTAGCCCAAACATGACTGGTGCACAAATTTAGCTCAAAACATGACTGGTGCACAAATTTAGCTCAAAACATGACTGGTGTACAAATTTAGCTCAAAACATGACTGGTGCACAAATTTAGCTCAAAACATGACTGGTGCACAAATTTAGCTCAAAACATGACTGGTGCACAAATTTAGCTCAAAACATAACTGGTGCACAAATTTAGCTCAAAACATGACAGCATGTGCACCCACTAACACATTTGTTAGCCGAATCCAAATCATTCGGAGAGGCGTAAAAACAGCTAAAATTATCTTTGTTAGCTCAGGTACTACAGTATACATTGTAGACCTGACAAGGAAAACTTACCAGGACCCCAAGAAATTCCTCTTATCCAGATATGAGTTGAAGCATTAAAAATTGTTGGGGATAAACAAATTGTTCTTCCCGACAGAAATTTGCCACTTAACGAGATCGCTGTAAGCGTTCTGCACTGTATTATATCTTAGGTTTAGGTATGGAGCTTACAGAAATAGCCTTTGAGGTGCTTTGTTGTCCCAACTTGGATTTGCTAACGGTAGGCACAATAGTGGCAGCCTCGTACGTTCTGCTAGTCTGTGTAGGGCATGCTATTTAACATTTTTAAGGTCAGGTTTTG